GGGCCACAGCCCCCCACCCGGACCCAGGCCCAGGCCCGCCTGAATGCCCCTCCCCGCAGGTGGAGGACGCGCTCACCTACCTGGACCAGGTGAAGATCCGCTTCGGCAGCGACCCGGCCACCTACAACGGCTTCCTGGAGATCATGAAGGAGTTCAAGAGCCAGAGGTAGCCTGGCCCCCCCCCCACCCGACGGGCTTCCCAGCTCCCTGGACACCGCGCCCCACGCCCACCTGCGCCACGGGAGAGGAGGCCCATCCCGCCCCACAGCCTCAGGGCCTCCCGGGGGCCCCTGTAGGTCCCGTGTCCCCCCTCCCCCCAGACTCCCGGAGACAGGCCCCGCGGCAGCCCCTCCTGCGCACCCCGAAAGCCCATCTCCTCCCGCTAAGCCGACGCTAAGCCGTCAACGTCGTCAGAGAACGTCTCCGACGTTCCTCTACGAGCTCTGCTAGCCGGGCGCAAGCCCTGTCCCCCTGCCTCCCGGGGTCCTGGAGGACTCTTTGCTCTGGTAGTCTCTCTTCCATGTTCCCAGAACCCCTCCCCACTCTTCCGGAGACCCCGGGCGCCCCCCTCACCGGGGACAGCCCCTCCCAGGCCTCCACATTTCGCGGGAGCTCCTCCCCTGGTCCGGGTTGGTCAAAGACTGAGCAAGGGGTGGGGGCCCGATCCATCCCCTTCCCCCTGTAGCAGCTGACCTTGAGCGCGGGTCCTCGGGAAGGGGAGGGAGGGCTGCCCTGCGCGGCTCCCACTCGGGGCTGGCTGGGAGAGGCTGCGGGGGAGGGGAGAGCCAGCCTCGGCTACAGTCGGAGCTCGCTTTTATGTAAAATGTTGCTGTTTTGTTCTGGAAAGATACGGAGGCCGTAGTCTGTTCTCTGGTTTTACAGGGGTGGTTTTGTATCTTCCGTTCTGTGTTCAAGGTGGCTCCACCCGACCAGGCCTGCCTGCCGCCAAGGAGGCGCTGCTGACCTCTTAGGATCTTGCTATTGCTAATAGGAAATACTACAACATACCGATATTTGTTTTTTGGGGTTACAGCATCAGGAGATGTAGAGAAACCAGTACCTCGGTCTTTCCAGGTTTTGTAATCCTGGTATGCCCCACACCACAGTGGCAGAGGTAGACCTGGAACTCACGCCTCTAAGGTGATGTTCAGGTCTCATCCTACGGTGCCGCTCTTAGGGGGTGTGGAGGGACTGGCCTTCCCAGTGGGTGCCTGTGGTCCTGAGGCAGACCTCAGCTGCTCCCTTGTGAAAAAGAAAAGCAGGTTCCTGTGGCACATGCCTGTAGTCCCAGCTTCTCAGAGGGTTGAGTTCTGAGGATGGCAGTTTGAAACCAGGCAGGAAAATGTGAGATCTTCCAATCAATAAAAAGCTGGTAGTGGAGCTGGGCTTCAAGTGGTAAAGCCCCAGCCTTCAATGGAAAAGTTAAGGAAGCCAGGTTCCAGTGGCTCTTTCCTGTCAGCCTAGCTACTCAGGAGTCTGAGATCCTGGGGATCTCGGTTCAAAGCCAGCCTGTGCAGGAAAGGCCAGACTTTTATCTCCAATAAACCACTAGAAAACTGCTGTGGCTCAAGTGATGGAGTGCTAACTTTGAGCTGAAGAACTGAGGGACAGTGCCCAAGCCCAGAGTTCAAGCCCCATGACTGACAACAACAAAAAAGCTAAGGAGTAGCAGTACTGTCACGAGAGAAAAAGTGGGCATTTGCCCTTGACGTCTTTTCAGAATCCAGTGCGCATGCTTACAGTGATTTGAGGCTGGCTCTGTGCTGTGTGTGTGGCTTTTGCCATGAGGGCTCAGGGAAGCCGCAGGGGAAATGGAGTCAGGGCAGCAAGTGGGCATACCAGGTACAATGAAATGTGCTGTCGCCTAAGAGTGGGACCTGTGTTTGCTTTTCGTTTCCAAGCCTCTTAACCACTGTGTTATTTCTCTCAGCATTGATACTCCTGGGGTCATCCGACGTGTGTCTCAGCTCTTCCACGAGCATCCTGACCTCATCGTGGGATTCAATGCTTTCCTGCCTCTTGGGTACCGGATAGACATTCCCAAGAACGGCAAGGTGGACACTCAGTCCCCCGGGGGCCAGGTACGCTGCCGGGGTGCAGGGGAGGGGCCTCAGCCTGTCGCTGTGCGGCTGTCTTTGTTGTTCACAAGACCCCAGGCGTGGTCTCTGCTTCTGCTAGACTTGCTAACTGCTTCTCACCCATCAGAATGGATCCAAACACACAGACTGCAGCCTCTGCATCCCCCCCCCCAAGCTGAGCGGGGTGCTGTGTGCCTCTTAACTGAATTACTTAGGAGGAAATGCCAATAGAAGTTGAAGTTTTTGCGTTTTAGGATTTAGAGTTTGAGGTGAGTGTGGACATAACTAGTGACACCCTGTCTTGAAAACAACATTTTTAAGAGGGCTGGGAGTGTTCAGGGGCAGAGCACTTGCCTAGCAGGTTCCCAGCCCTGGGTTCAATCCCCCGTCCTGCCTCCTCACTCCCCCCCCCCCCGAAAAAAAAGGATTCAGAGGGAGGGCAGCTCAGGGTATATAGCACAAGGCCGCGGGTTCCATTCCTGGTCCATGAATGATAGGTTCCTGGATCAGGAACCTGTCAGCCCATCTGTAGCTGCCGAGGCGGCCTGGGGGACCCCACCCCTGAACCCGGCCACGAGCCGTTGCTGCCACTAGTAAAAAGTGGAAGACTAGTGCTGAACAGGGTCATTCGACTAGCTCTCAGCTGGCAATCAAGCCTTTCTGGGATGCTGGGGCGCTGTCGTGTCCCCCCCATCTCTGTAGCTCCTCCTTGCTAGAGGAAGGAGTGCGGCCAGTGGGCAAGAGCGCGCTGAGCTCCTGTCCTCCGTGCTGTGAGTGAGATGGCCTTTCTAGTAGCAGCTGTGCATGGAAGGCTTCGCAGTGCATTGTGGGTTGTCTAGCTGCACCTCTGACCTCTGTATCCTGCAGAAATGGCTGTCTCAGGCTTTGAAGTTTGAGACCAACGCAGGCAGGGAGCTTCTGGGGTTCCATCGCCAATTAGCAAAAAACCCCACAAAAACTGGTAAGGCGGTGCTGCTCCAAGGAAGTGCCTGCCAAGCTCTAGGTCCCGAGTTCAAGGCCCGTTACCAGTGCTCACAGAACATCTCACCTCTTTTTTGGTCTGGTCATGGGGCCTGAACTCTGGGCCTGGGTGCTGCCCCTCAGCTCTTCAGCTCAGGGCTAGTGCTCTAACTTCAGCCACAGCGCCCCTTCCGGCTCTTTTTCTGCTTATGTGATGCTGAGGAATTGAACCCAGGGCCTCATGCATGCTAGGCAAGCACTCTACCACTGAGCCACCTTCCCAGCCCAGCATCTCATCTCTTGTGAGCCACTAGCTCTCCAGTACCGGGAGCCATAGCTGGCTCGGTGCAGACTTGCCACCAACAGACAACAGACGTGGACTTTGGGGAAAGGATCCCAGAGGGAGCTGGTAGCGGCGGTGCCTGGTCGGTTGAAATACTGCTTTTCTCCGTGCTTTCCCACAATGAGGATGTGGTGGAAAATTTCAAGATTTAGTAGCCTAGGCCACTGAATTCCTCAGCTGTGGGCCTGGAGGCTCAGCCCTCAAGTTCTTACCACAAGCTGCTGAGCATCACTGTTGGGGCGTCGCTGCCCCTCCCAGGGTGCCAGTCCATCTGGGCATCGAGTTCTCGTTCTGCCAGCCCCAGGCAGGCCAGCTCGTCCCTGCAGAGGAGGCGGCCTCCTGCCCCTCCAGCCCACCCCCAGCTTTGCCCAGGGAGGCTTCTCAGGGACAGTGGTGCACTGGGTGGCCGCCCCTCCCCCTCCTGCTCCCTAGATCCTTGGAGCGGCTCCTCCCCCATGCGTGTCCCCAGATGTGGACACACATGGCCTGTGGCATTCACGCATCCACTCTCCCCGCAGTGAACACGGCCTTCAGCATAGGTCTCTGTGTTCATTCTGTCCTCAAGATTGCCAGCTGCAGCTGAGCGCCCCTTAGGTGTCGAGCTGCTGCCTCTGCTGGGTTGGTTCACGCTGTCTTGTTTCTCCAGGACACGTCCTGGGTGTCCAGCGGCCTTGGCCTCCAGCCACAGTGTCTCCCAGTGTCCCCTGGTGCACAGCTGCAGCCCTGGCCAGCCCTCCGCCTTGAGGCAGCCCCCTTGGGCTTTAGGTGCTGTTGCCTCCTGCGATGGCCTGTCACACTCGTGGGCCACAGCTGGCATAGCTTGGTGGCACCCAGTCTCTGAGTTGAAGTGTCAGGTGACACCAAGAGAGGAGGTGCCTGGTGCCCGGCCACTGTCCCCACAGCGGGGGGGCCTGGCGTTGCTCATGGGGTCTGTCCTGTTGCAGGAGAACGCTCATGGTGAAGGCGCGGCCGACTTCAAGCCGCAGGCCGCAGCGGCAGCAGCCTGCAAGGAGGAGCGGGGCCAGGGACCCTTGGAGGCGGACTCGGTGGAGTTCAACAATGCCATCAGCTACGTGAACAAGATTAAGACTCGCTTCTTGGACCACCCGGAGATCTACCGCTCCTTCCTGGAGATCCTGCACACCTACCAGGTCAGAGCCGCTGCCCCCCCCACCCCCAGCCTTCCCCCCTGCCCAGCTCGCTGCCCATGCTCTGCCTCAGCCGTTGGCTTGCTTTGTTCCTTTGGGGCTATGAACTCACGTTGCTCACAGCTGACACATTACCTCTTGAAGGACAGAGGCCTCTTAGCTCTTTTTTTCCTTTTTTGTGAGTTGTGGGGTTTGAACTTGGGGCCTGGGCGCTGTCCCTGAGCCTCTTTGTGTTCAGGACTAGCGCTCTACCTACCACTTGGGCCCCAGCACCACTTCTGGTTTTTGAGTGGTTAATTGGAGATGAGTCTTGTGGACTTTTCTGCCCAGCCTGGCTTTGAACTGTATTCTCACATCTCAGCCTCCTGAGTTAGCTGTAGGATGACAGGCGTGAGCCGTGAGCCACTGACGCCCAGCTTGCTTTGTTTCTTGAGGTAGGGTCTCATTTTTGTCTTACGTTCTCCTGGATTGTGACCCACTGTGGCTGGATGACTGCATCGTCCGCTTTCTCTGGGAGGAGGTTCTCTCTTTCTGCCTGTCTGGTCCCATCGTGTCTTCCGGATCTTCCGAGAAGCTGGGAGGACTGGTGGGCCTTGGCACCCCACAAGCCATTTAAGGGTGGTACCTGCGCACAGGCCATGCAGCGGTGGCTCACACCTGTGATCCTAGCCGCTCAGGACAGACCCAGCCCAGGTAGACCGACCTGAGGGACTCAAGTAAGCAGCAAACAACGGGACGTGGCGCTGTGTAAGGCTCACATGGTAGAATGGTAGTCTTGAGTGAAAGAGTTGAGGGACGGTGCAAGGCCGACAGTTCAGGTTCCAGTACTCAAAAGCTGTATGACCCACATACATCGGATGAAGTGTGAGACACATCCGATTTGTTCTTTGAGATGGGATGTCCTTTTTTACACGTAGGGTTGGCCTCACGTGTGACCCCCTACTCTCTGCCTCCCGAGTAACGGGTCACAGATAGGAGCTGCTGTGGAAATGTTTGCTGTCCGTGGTGTGGGTGACACGGGCAGGCCCTGCCAGCGCAGACACACCAGGCGGCTGTCAGGATGGAGGCAAAGGGAAGAGGAGGAGGGGTGGGCAAGGAAGGACAGTCTTCTGTGTCTCCAATGGGAACCTGATGTGGGGTGCCAGGTGGCTCCCGCCAGCCTGAGTGCACACCCCTGCACCTGGCCACCACCAGCCTGAGTGCACGCCCCTGCACCTGGCCGCCACCAGCCTGAGTGCACGCCCCTGCACCTGGCCGCCACCAGCCTGAGTGCACGCCCCTG